AAAAAAAAAAAAAAAAATGAAATGAAAAATAGAAATTTACAACTGTGCTAGTAGTTAACGCTAAATCTATACCAAGCAGAAGTTTTTCATCGAGAATTTTACAAGGAGAAAAAATTGACAAATTTTTTAATATCAAATATTTTGGTTTTAAATATTAATATTGCGGTATTAAAATTTTTACATCGATCATATTGAAAATCATTGAAATCTATGTTCGATGAAAATAAATAAATGTGGCAATTGTTTTTAAAGATCATAAATTATATATCTAAACACTCCATTCCTCTCTTTCTCTTCTTCCCATATATAAAGAGAACGAGAGAGAGAGAGAGAGAGAGAGAGAGAGAGAAAAAAAATGTAAACGAGAAGCGAATCCAGCAATGAATCAAGAAGGAAAGCTGACCACAGAAGAAAAGAAAATTCACAAAATATTCCAATAAGTCATTAATTTATTCTATTCGAATGATTTCTGATTTATAAAATGAATTGCCCAAAGAAAAGGAAAAAAAGCAAAAAACGGGTTATTTTTTTTCTTTCAACAACGTTGTCTATCTAGAAAGGAATTCATTTGATACTGTTTGATTTTATTCTAAAACGAGTAAATAATTTCGATAATTATTCGTTGCTCAATTAATTTTGAACAAATATTTGGGGAATAAATAACCGCTCATTATGAATCGTTTTAGCAAGTCTTATAGAAATGTACAAAATTAAAATAAAACTTGAAATTCTTTACTAAATGAATGAATTCAGTAAAGAATGATAATAATGAATGGAAAATGAGAAAAAAACAGAGAAAAAGAAGAAAATTGGATAATTTTTCAATCTAAAAATGTGACAACAATCAAACTAAAAAATCCATCTCAAAATTACATTGTTGTTTATTACAACAATAAACACACTTTTCGTTCAATCTTATTCATTTTGTGCCTTTTATCACCCTTATCAAAAATCATTCATTTATTATTGAATTAAAACAAATAAACAAAAAAAAAGCGCAATAAAACAAACAAAGAAAAAAACTGGATAAAATAAATTGAAAAGGTAAAAAATAAAATAAAATACCATGAATGACGTTTTAGATGAACGATGATAGGCTAAGGAAATTTACAGAAATAATTTGATGACTGGTCGAAATAAATTTTCCCAGTTTGTTATCACAAAAATAAATCTATTTTTGTAGATCAAACAGGGAAAACCTGTGAAAGCAAATAAAATTCTTTTTTTTTAAATTTTTTTAAACGAATCGTATAGTTATTTCACATGCATAGCCAGAAGAGTTAATGATTTTTTTTTTTCAAATGTTGTAAAATGGGATAAAGTTTTTTCTCAATATTGTGAAATGAAATAAACAAAGATGAGTAAAATGATCAAAAGTTTTTGGTATATTTCAAATGAGATAAAAATGCAAAAGACAGACTGATAAGAAATGAAAAAAGTAAAAATTAGATAATAAACGAAACCATTTAATAGTGAAAATTTTTTTTCAGAATTTGCATAAATATATCAAAATGAATAACTAAATGGACAGAGAAGAACTAAAAATGATTATTCAAAACAATCGTAATATTCCAAATGATAATTAAGCATACAGAATTAACCGTACCGGTAGTAGAAATTATCCCGGAAGGAAATAAAAAAAAAATGTACAATGGTGGCAAATAATTGAAAGATAAAAAAGTGTCGACATTTCCTACTTAATTAAATTTGCAATTAATTTTTGATAGATGATAATACAACGAATATTGATATGTATATTAAAATTTCAAGAGGAAGAATAAAAGCAAAGATGAAATTTGCAAACTATGCAATATTTCTACTTCAAATCGTCCTACAGTTAAATTAGTTTTTAATTTTTCTATTTAAAATTAGAACACGACATCTAAAAAAAGCATATACATAAGAATGCAATGAGTGCAAAAGAGGTCATTTGCAGATGTATTAACGGTGGAATAATTGCAGCAAATATCAATCTCATCATTGCGCCAATAAGCGATGTAAACAACTTTTTTTTTTATTTATTTATTTTCTATGCTATTCGTTTCTTTTAATTAGAAAAACTGAACTAAAGTAGCAAAACAGTAAAAATAAAAATTTTTAAATAAAGCTGCATTTTTTTCCTTTTACAAATATAAATTCAAATATGAGATATCAATTAAATCGGAGTGTGTAACCTTTTTTCCTTCAATAGCCAACAGATGCTCAAATCCAGAAATAACCCTTCATTGATTCCTAATGCTATTTAAGAAACCAGTAAACAGATAATCCCCTTTCTTTCTCGCTCTCTTCCTCCCTCTCCCTCTCTCTCTCTCTCTCTCTCTCCCTCTAGTCAGATGACCACATGTTCCCATAAACAAATGTTGAATAAAATAATAATGATGAGGACGAATATAATAGAACCCCTGATGGGTTAGTTTGTACCGAAGAACGGAACAAAAGAGGACCATAAATTGGTAGAAATCATATTTTCCAATTGATTTAACAAATTTTGTAAAGAAAGATAAGCTTGAAATTATACAAATTATTCGCTTTTCTTTAGAGATAAAAATTTTAAATCTATCACTGTAAATTAAAATTCTTTCTTAAGCTGACATTTAACATGCATTATTGCTCTCTCATTAGAAAACTTCTAAATGATATTTTTCTACTAATATGGAAGATTTGAAGAGAAATGAAAATAGCGCATAGCTCATTAATTTGAATTAATTTAATCTCAACTTATTTAGTATATTTCACAACAATAAAATATCATATTGGAGCGTCAATGAATATTGAAATTTATTACTGATTATTATTAAATCAAAATGATATATTGTAGTAGAAATAATCAACCATTACTGTAGCTTTTTTTATAAAAATCATTGCAA